TTGAAAGGATGTGGTCACTTGGAAAGAACCATTGTCAAGATGATTAGGGGTATGAAATAAAATGTTACGGGCGTTAACAGCTTAGTTATCATACTAAATGTCACTAGGAAATACCTAACAGTCGTCCTAAAATTCTTACAATGTACAGAATATAGGATAAAAGTTGGGACAGATTTGTTAAACTGCGACTAGCGCGAGGAACGAAAAATTTCTTGTCGAGTTTCACCCCCGAGAATTAGTAGCACGGCCCCTTGCGATAAGGGGGCTACTTTTGAAGACCTTAAACTGTTTACACACCGGATAAGGGACCAGAATTAGACTTAAGTCAATTAGGAAAATTGAAAACAAGTAAGAGCGGTTTAGATGCCGACAGATGGCGTAGGCATGATGCGTTCCTTAAGCGTTGAGCACTGCCTGTACGGATACTCGATAATGCGCCAAGACGCCAAGGTATTTGTGCACTCTAACCTTTCCCTTGTCGGGTCAAGTATTTTTGCGTATGATTTACTGATATAACGCTAACAATGATACAGTGTTGAACGCCAATGCAGTCAATGTGGAACACTGTTAGCTTGTAAGATGCAGTGATCAAGAATGGAACTCGAGCTCTACCTTTGCAGTTATGGTTTACAGCAGGTCATGCAAGAGGTTCAGGTACATTATGTTCAATACATGTTCCATATGAGTTCTATATAATTTTCAATTGTTTAACTGTTTACTATAGTAGATTTGGGTGTAGATTCTTTCAGTAAAACTTTGATTTAGATTGAGGAAGTGTATGACAAACAGTTGTACAGTTTCATTCGGTTGCCCTAACTTTACGTTGAATTACATGTAATATCATTGTCACAGTCACATCGTAGATATTTGCTGAACAGCATATTAGGCCACAGCAAGTAAATTTTATGGATGACATCCTCCGCAGACTCCAAATCTAATGCGAGCGAGCAAAAAAAAACAAGGTGGGCCGAAAAAAAAACATTTTAAAAGTTTGACTCAATCGTTGTACAAAATTATTTTGATTCAGTGGGAACATCACATATACACAGCCAGCATCACATATCACTGCATCAAAGTAAGAAACAAAACATTAATTCAGAGCCCTTTCTTGTCTCCTCTCTTCATAGTTATCTGCCATCCACCTTCCGGCATGCATGGCAACAGACATCTTTGTCCATTTGTGGCATGTTGACCACTGTCAGAAGGCAACAGAATTTCTTGTTTTTTTTTCCAAAGTCAGGCAAAAATTAATGATGTCATCCATAAAAATTACTTGCTGTGGCCTTAGAAAGAGGCATGCCTATATTGTGGACTCATCTGGTTCATGATGGTCATTACTAGAATTATGTTATAGAAGTAGAACTCTATTCCAGCATTTGCTTCCTGGCAGCTTCTTGCAAAACAGTACTTTTCTTATCATATCATATCATAAAATGAAAAACTAGGTCGGAGGGAAAAGTTATGAATCTGTTTTTGTGCTATCAGAAAGATCAGTAGACTTTGAAAAACAGGCCGTGACATACCGACCTGGCTTTGCTGTAACAGCAATTAAGTCTGACACTTTGATTTAAGAATGCTAAAATGGGACCTTATCACTTCTCGCTTAATCTTTCCCCTGTTTGCCAATGTCACGATGAAGGGTGTCGAGGTATTAGCCATACAAATCAACAACGCTGAACTATATGGATGTTGTTTCCCAGGGATTATACAAGTGTTTTATACTTTTTATGCTCTATTTATACACCTCTGAATGCAAAAAAATGTCAATATGAGAACCAAGGCGTCACATTGGTGTCGCCAGGTGAAGTGGTGTGTACATTTTTAACGTAGATAAACAAGAGGACAGACTAAAAACATTCTCCCTATTGGTTTTGTGTCCAGGATAAGTAGTGTTGTCTTAGAAACACGGTGTTGAAGTTTGCCCCCTAACCTTTGAGGGACTGTGTCATAAATGAAGTGTTGTAACAATATGGTTAGAAGGAGTGTCTAGAGCTTGTGTGCACTTAAGATTTGTCTTGACGATTAGCAACGTAATAGGTTACCGCGAAGGTTTGTGATGTTGAAACTTGTGCAGCGCTTCTTGCGGGTTTGCCTGTTCCTGTGTGTGTTGTGTGTTCTGGTGGTTCGCTGGGCACTGGATGGCTTAGTCACAGAATTCAACAGGATCATTCAAGTAAGTAGCAATACACACTGATTTAGAGTTGGTATAGCCAACTTTTGGGTGTAACATACCAGCAATGTTACAGTACTAGTAGGTACTCAGTGGTGTCACCCCTAGTAAGCCCTTCTTATCTATCTCCATGAACAGTTTCATCAGGTTGGTAAGTTACTGAATAAAGAGACTCTTTTTACACAACCAAGCGTTTTATTCAGCCAACGTGTAGATATATATAATACTTTGTTTGTGAATGCATCTATAGCAGTGACATCTGTGCTGTGCAATGTGAACCAGTCAGAATTGCCCTGAGGAAGGTGACAGATGGTCACGTACATGTAGCAGTTTCCTTATACCTCAACATACTGAAACTTATGAAATACTTGAGGCTGTTCCCTGTTCCTTACTGGACAATATGGAAGTAGTCGGTCTACGTGTACAAGCTTGTTTTTACCTTCATCCAAGTCGTAACATTTACTTAGTTGTGGGAAAAAAGACAAGGCTAGTATGTATATACACACATTCTAAAGGTTTGATTTACCAGAGAACCTCCCCCCCATCTTATTGACAAGTACAATGAACTCACAGAGGCAATGCTTGCACGTACAATGTCTAAGAATAACATAAGTCATGTGAGTCACAACGTCTTGTCCGCCAGGTCAAAGAGTAAGACAGTAGGATCAATGACCAGTACTGACTCAGCCCTCTACACGATACCAAATATTCCCTTTCCTTAGACTAACACAAGCTTCATGCCTTGTCACAAATAAATCTGCTCACCTCTCAGTGGCTACCAGTCCTACGTGATCATGTAAGGCCACACCAATATAATTTCTTGGTGAACGGATTTTTCTAGAAAAATAATGGGGCGGGCGGGCAAAAAAAAATAAAAATAAAAACAGGCCTAGGCATCCTACATGTATTATGGCCCAAAATGGTACGATAGGAGCCATGAAGTCAACACACCAGGCTGGTTCAAAATTTAAACAATGAATTTGGAACTTTTATTGATACCATTGCATTGAAAGTTGGAATAACTGTAACAACTAGGAAGAAAAGGACTGTTTCAACTGTTCAGGAGAAAATATGAGCATTTTGCAGTTGATTCTGAATTTTTTTTTGAAAATCAGAAAAAAATGAAGCGGGCAAATCCGTTAACCAAGAAATTAAATTGGTGTGGCCTAAGCATACTGCAGAAACCAAGATTATTTGTTTAGATTTTTTTTTTCAACTATGATTTCCCATACTGTTTCAAACTTGAGTGAATTCAAACTTTACAAATACAAAAACCATAACACATTGTAATCTCCAAGCAGATCTTTTGGTGGCCAAAGATAGTATCCAACACGCGGACAGTATCCAGCCGGCCGACAGTATCCAATTGGATGGGCCGGCTGTCAGAAAAAAACGGGGCATAGAAAAAGGTCACAATCTTCCCATTCAACCTCTGCTTGGAGAGTAAAACCATTGAGGAATACAATGAAGGCCATAAGCATAATTATTAACAGGAAATAAAACTGGTACAGTAACATTACTCAGTACAGTACTTGTAGTTCTGGGAATTTCTGATTATATCGGAAGTTCATATAGTTTATCTTTTGAATGTAAGGATTTCCGGTATAATAATTATGATAAGCTTCCTGTTCCTGACTCATTCCTGGAAGTAGTCTAACTTGATTATACAAATGTACTTACAAAATTTGTCTTAGCTTCCTGTTATAAATTTCATCTAGGTTCAGTGCAGATGCTTTGATCATCGGTGAAGCTTGGTCAGGCATCAATGTGCTTTACTTAATGAGTAAAAACATCTGCCATTTGTTTGATATACACACAAGGTCCCTCCACAGTCGTTCTTCTTACAGTCTTTCATGGAGTCAAAGATTAATTCTTTCTCTCTAGTGATCAAGTTTTGCGTAGTATGCTTTTAGTTTTACTTTTACCACATTCGTGTGTGTGGGTGGGGTCCTCAAAGCTGTGCCTTATCTTCAGGTGGTTTAGGTCTGACACGGGTCCCCATGGTTTCCTGTGGCCTTCTGGCTACCTGTGTGTGTGGCCAAACTTACTTTATACCACTACAGAGTTAATCATTACACCTGCTTTATTAGTACAGGTTGTCACCACTGGGCCATGTAGTCAGTAGAGCAAAGAAAACAGACCCAAATTTCAACACTTGATTTCATCTGGAGAGCCTACCTCGTAGAGTGTTGCACATAAAATCTCTGGGTGAAAGTGCAGTGTCCTGCTGTATATTTTTTGTCAGAAAAGTTGGATTGTGTATTGTGATTGGTTCAATATCTCATATCAATATCTTGGACAATCTAGGTTATCTTAAAGTTTGTTTTCAAAAATAGAATGGTTGAAAGATAAAAACAGCCCTCCCACTTGCCCCCTCTTCTATTGCTTCTCAGAATTGCTACAATGCAACGGTATTATGTAGAAAGTAGACCGGTGTTATTGTGTGATTTCTCAGTAAACGGCTACGTCGTAGTTTGTTTCACGTTCATAGGAAATAAGTAGCAGAATTATATTTGCTGAATTGAGCTTGATTTATTTCCGCGATCCATGATAAGATTGAAAAGGAAGTGGTATTCCGTCTCTAGTGTTTCGTTATCTTAGTTCATGAAGTGTACCGGTCCGGATCAAAGAGTTTCACACTCTCACTAAGGTATCGCACACAATAACTAATCATCACAGGTAGCGTCACCAGTGTCCACAACATTTTGTTTGTTTGTTAATGATTATCCAAAGCTACGTCAATACCTGGCAGGGCGCTCAATGGCCGAGCCGTAGCACCTGTACCTATACGTGCTTCAACATTGTTTGCCGTTTTTCCCCGCCCTTGCAGGCTCCCACGGGTGTGAATGGTCAGCCGTCTGTGGAAGATGACAGGAAGAATGGGGAGCTACACACCGCAAACAGACCTGCCTCCGAGGACAAACGATTAGGCAAAGGGGCGGTAACAGCCGAGGGACAGGCTAGGGGCATTCACCCTGATAACTCATCGCTGCTTTTACCACTTCCGTTGACATCATCGTCACAGCTAGAGAGAAGCACCCGGCAGAACCACCACAACACCAGGAAAATAGTCTCCACTTCAGACGTACAAAACTGTGTGAACACCAGACCGACAACGTTGACCAAATCTGCTTCGGAGCCCGCATTTGGAGTGGACGGTAAACAGCAGAAATATGTCATCGAAATTCACCTGTCCCCCACGCAAGAGGTGATAGCAGCCGGCGAAGACCAGAAGTCGTTGACGGAATCTGTTGAAGACGAAGGAGAGAGCGTCTTTTTCGAAGGAAACAGGCCATCGGTGGTTATAACTTCTCCTGAGAGAAGACAGAGGAATCCATTCACCAGAAGTCAGAGTTTGCCGGTATCTCCCACGATAAATATTGTCCCTTGCGGTGACATGCACGACAAGTCGGACCTGTCCCCCAACATGGCAAACGTAGAGGACACAGAAGATGACTGGACCCGTGTAGTTCCAAGGGTCCTACAGCAATCAGACAGCATCGCAGTACCAGAGAGCAGTAGCGGTTCTTTTCGACGCTGGTCTCGTTCGCGTACCGAAAGCATGTCGGAAGCCTTGAACGACGAAGGTAGGATCGAGATGGAAGACAAGGAGGAGTTACGAAGTCTTGACATCGACAAGGACAGGGAGGTCATTCACGACATAGCCTACTTTCTCGAGACGCAAAACGAGAAACCAGTCACAAATAGCTTGCCACGAGACTCCATGCTTGCCGTTGCACCTAATAAGAACTTGGAGGTGGAGTCTCAGAGTCAAAGTCTGCCATCGTCGCCGATGCCAACTCGAAGAGGAGGAAGACATTCTCTCAGAAGTCTTCCAGTGTCCCCCCATCCCGAGAATCAACCTGAGAGATCTCGATCAAGCACCGATTCCTTGGACGAACAACCAAGAACAAACTTGCTCACCACCCTTGTCCAACCAGAAAGGCCCGTCACTCCAAAACCTTACAAGAAACAGTCTACATCTTCTCCTAACTCTTCCTCAAGTCATCTTTCTGTGAATAGCCCCCCACCCGCTCGACCTGTGACCCCTAAGCCTCAAGGCAGGCCGTCGTCTAGTTCTTTGCAAAGTTCAAGTCCAAAATCATCCTTGCTGGACATTCCACAAGAAGACGCCGTAATAATAAGACCCATAAGTCCGAAGTTTGCTACGATTACAGAAAACACGGACGTGCTAGCGCCGCAAGCGACAAGGCTTCTCACAGACCCCCAGTCGACAGGGTCCCCACAACTCACCAGGAACAGGAGTAGAAAGATAAGTCTGTCTGCGAAACAGAACCACGCGCTGATGAGGATTTCAGCGGCTGGTAGTGAGGACAGCGGGCTCGGGGACAGCCAGTCACAGCTCAACTTAGCTGTTCCCTCATTGGAAGACAAGTCCTTGCAAAAGGTCAGCTTTAACAGTAGTCACTGTAATTTGTACATGTTGTATTTTCCCGATAATCCACTATCTAGCATGTATTTTTACTTGTTGCAAGGTAGCATTATTTTTATGTTTACCACGAATCTCTCTCTACCTACATGAAAAATCTACCACGAATCTCTCTCTACATGAAAAATAAACATTTCAAATTGTCTTGTTGACAAACAAACAAAGCTAGTGGTGTAAACATGCCCTACCCAGTAGACTGAGGTAAATATTAACTTAACTTATCATTTAGGTCATTCATTTGCCTGATCAATTATGCAGCGTTACACATCAACTGAAATTGATTAATCTGTAGCCAGTTTTACATCAATTGTAAAAGAACATTTATGAGACGTTTTGCTACACATATTGCACAATGTATGCTTTGTTGTCAGACCAATCTAACCGAAGTCTAATGGTAGAATTTGAAATATAAAGGATTGGTCTCTTAAGCTTTGAAATGTTTTAGTTTTACTCTGTTGTGCTGCAATTGCACTGTATCTGTATTGCCGGTATAACCGCATTTCGGCGTAACACACCAGCTTCGCAGGCACGTGGCGCGGCGGCAGCTGGCTTAATCACTACACCAAACGACTTGTTACTCCTAACATTTGAAAATCTAACTCTAAACAGGTTTAAAGCTAATATAATGACAATGCCCCTACTGTACTTGGTGACAGCGAGTTCCACTCTGCGATAGTTCTACTTCTAGGAAAAAATCAGGGGTTTTGAACACCTCATTACTTGGTTGATAACTCTGGTACTTGAAAGCATTACTTATTTCTTGTTCTGAGCTGGTATTAGGTACTGAGCTAACAACTATGCTAACTTCTCATTGTAAAATCCAGGATGCTTCAGCAGTACAAGCCAATGAAGACGTCGTCAAATACAGAAGGGCGACAAAACAGCGACGGCGTAGACCGAAGAGCGATCTGGGCTCCTGGGTTCAAAAACCTCCCGCGAAGTCGCGTCGGCCGTTGACGATCCATGGGACCCCCCACCAGGAAAGTATCGAGGAGAACGAGGGATCAGACGAGGATAACACAGAGGAGAAGAGTTTGGACAAACTAACATCTTTGAGAGAGGCTATCAACCTTTTTACAGTGGACAGTCCAAAGTTAAACAGAAGGGTAAGTACATTGATAAAGGTTTGACATTCAGATAGAACATCAACGTAATTCTTAACAAAATAAATCGAAAAGTAGATGATGAAAAATGGTGGATGTTATCTGTAATCTGATTCTTAAGAGAATTCATGCAGCTGCTTGATTTTATTTTGTATTATATAATAATTGTTAGAAGGGTAAGTATTTTGTAGCTAGGCAACTTCATAATATTAAGCTTTCAGAAAGGTACAATAAAGGATTTTCAACCTGTTTTAAATGAATGCCAGTCCTATGGGATAGACAGTTCTGATTTATTGACGCCCATGTCATGATTCAAAAACCTGCATAGTCATTATGATGATGGTACTACATGTACCTGAGACTGTGCCTCACAATCCATTGTATAAACACTCAGGACTTGAAATTCATTTTTGGGAATAGGTGCACTGGTGCACCCAACCTAAAAAATTGGGTGCACAGAAAATATTTAGGGTGCAAAAACTAATGATGTTTTATTTCTTAAGAAAGTGTTATAACAATGATTTTATTATTTTTCTAACACTTTGATGTTGAGAATATGCTGTATACTACAATATTATACATTAAACTTCATACGTAAACCTACGAAAATATTTGGGTGCACTGGCATGGTGCACCCACCTGAAATAATTGAGTGCACAGCTCCAAATGTTGGTGCAATGAGGTGCATGTGCACCCAGTATTTCAAGCCCTGATAAAACTGCTGTAACATTTATTAGAATTATTATTACCACTGACAATGGCATTAAAAGATGATACTCAGTACTTTTTGATGTGGGATTCATTTACATGTAAGATACTAAGCCAGAGCAAGTATGTTTGTTGGATGTATATCATATGGTTTGTAACTAAGGGATACTTTGTCACTTTGTTCAACCTTTGTGCTGTTGTGTTATATATGTGTGTGCACACAGCAAACATAGGCACGAAATTAGACTGCAAAGTGTTAAATCAATATTACATGTTGTTCCTGCAAAGTCTAAGTATGTTACCTTGCTTGATATCTTCTCATAGGACATTGTCAAGTGCAATTTCTGATGATTTTTATTGTCCTCCACTAGAATATGCAGTGGTAATATATATTAAATGTTATCACAAGAGGAATTTGTATTTGATAAAAAAAAATATTTTTGATTGTATAATTATTTGTCTTCTTTCCTTCCAGAATACTGTGCACAACATAGTTGGTTCACCAAATCATCCAGGCAAAGCTCTAGTAAGTACCAAATCTGGTATTCACTGTTTTCACATTAAAGATCCCTCCTTGCAAAACCTTAGGCACGAAAAGTAAACTTCTCTTTCTTTCTAGAATTTACAAATGTAGAACTTTATGTTTACATCACTGGACTTTATTCTTGTGAAATTATGCCACGATTAAAAATGATACACATGTACATGTAGATGACTCTTTGTCTGAAGACTGATTTTAATAGTTGTGTGTGTATTACTGGTATCCTTTTTTTCAACCTTTATATCTTTATTCACAGAAAATGTCTGGAATGAACTCAACTATAACAGAAGAGTCGACAACTCCAAGAGTTTACAATCGGACTGTGAGTTCGTACAGTCCACCACTGGGCACTCCTGCCCTCAAACGCTCCCGTAGTACACCCTGCAGTCTAGATAGGGCCGGAAGGAAAAGAATACATTCTCAAGGTATCTCCTAACAGTCTGTTAGATTTAGATTGCATTTCCATTGTAATATTGCTGTATTGCAAAATTGTTTCAAGTGTGAATTTAAAACAGTGCAAAAACTCCTCTCTTCTTCTACTACAGAATTAAGTCCATGTGAAAACAAGTGAATTTACAGTTACTGCATTGAGAGCTGTTTTTTAGGGAGCTATCAACATTGTAATAGCTTACAGCAACTGTCACAGTGTAACTTTCCTAGGAATTATAATTATTAACTAAAAGCTTCTTTCAACTCGCCTGTTTTTTTCTGTTCCTTGTCAACATAGCCTGGGTGCCAGACTGTTAGGGTCAGTAAACAGGCTAGCTTCAGGGACCAGGCTAGGGCCAACAAAACCTTACCACAGACCCATCAGGGTCTAACTGGGGACAGTGGCATGTGTATTGGCCCTGGAAATTACCCTGGAAATAGTCTGGGATCCAGGCTATGTCAGCAGAGATTTCCAAGTATATACTCTAAGACTTAGTATCCTCCTAACATTACAAAGACTATTGAAAGCAGTGGGTGGTCAGTGCTTTTCCTAAGGATCTACATGTATGTAACAGGTGTAACTATCTTCGAAATAAATCTTCTTTCTACATAGTAAACACATTTT